CTTGTTTGTTTATAGTTTGGCAGAAAGGATTAAAAGTTAAACTAGAAAATAAAAGTTGTGAAAGTAAACAAATGAAAGAATGAGAGACAATAGAGATAAAGAAAGAAAGAAAGAAGAAGATATAATTTTACCGTTGAATAAAATGCAAAAAAGGAATACGAATTATAACAAAGAATATAGAGCCAATTATATTCATTCCCTGTAGCGTATTCTAGTTAGTGATATCTAACTGTTAAATATCCACATCTGCCGGTAACAAGCTATCGTGTACCTTGGTTACAGCCAGACCGAGGTGATATTATTCCTGGGTATAGGGCTACACTCCCACCCGCCCATTCTTCAGTACTAAATAGTCATGGATTTACAGCAGCAGCAGTTGTTATGATACAGACCAGGTAAACACAGACCCAACCTTGTTAAATACTGTTCCTGGAGGTGTTATTAACGTGTGTGGCGCTAATGATGTTGATTAGGAGAGGAGGAGGAGTGCGAGGAGGAAGAAAAGTGGGGATGTAAAGGAAATAAGTACGAGGGCGTGATGTGGGGAGGAAGGAGAGGAAGGATGAATGGTAGGATAGAAGAGGGAGGAAGAGAAGTTGATGTAAAATTAAAATATTCAAGGAGAGGGAGGAGAAAAGGAGAAGGGGAGGGGGGTGGAGAGAAAGGAAAGTCAAAGAAGAAAAGGAGGCATAAGAGAGTATAAGAATGGAGGAGGATGTAAAGTTGGGAGAGAAGTGAGAAAATAAAGAGGGAAGGGAGACTCATTGAGGAGGGGGAAGTCGAGGAAGAGGAGGAGCAGGAAGAGGAGGAGGAGGAGGTAATCTTATATGTTTATCGTCAAGGTACAGGAACATAAACATACATCAGGTAAGAGATAACACCTTCCCACACCTGCCCACACCCACCCACACTTGCCCACACCCACCCACACCTACCCACACCCACCCACATCTGTCCACACCCACCCCTACCTGCCCACACTTTCCCACACCTGCTCACACCCGCCCACACCTGACCACACCCGCCTGCCCACACCCGCCTACACCCTCCCACACCCGTCCCCACCCGTCGCCACATCCGCTCAACCACCGCACTATTATACCCCGTTAATGACCATGACCTTTGACCTTCCACGCTATGACCTTGACCTATGTTATGGGGAATGATGTTGACGTTGTGTTTTGTACAGTTTATTTAATGATGTTTATAAGGATGTCTGTATCGAGGGAAGCGGTTATGAGTGAGTTGGCTAACACAGGTATAGATTCAGACAACGAGATATTTGGACATCAAGACACTGGGACATCAGACAACCAGACACTCGAACACCAGATAACAAAAACAATTCCTAATTTTTACCACAACCACCACACCACAACCACCACACCACCACCACCACCACCACCACCACCACCACCACCACCACCACCACCACCAACAACCTTACCCAAATTACACTTTAGAGTAACCATGAGTGGTCATCCATTCCTCTCTCTTCCTCTTCCTGCTACCGTATACCTCTTCCTACTTCCCTGCCTCTCATTCCTCTTTTATACACTTACTGAGACAATCCCTTCTCCCCTGTCTCTTATTATGTCTCTTATTCCTTATATAAATAACCATTCCCTCTTGTCTCTCTAGCTCCCTCCTGTGTAAACATGCTCACACAACCCTAAGTAATTTTTCTAATATCTGTGTTTATTCTGAAGGGGAATTAACATCTTCCCCTTCCATGATAATCGATTAGTGTGTAGTGACCTGAAGCAAGTATCAATAGACTGTGGTCAAGTCATCCCTGTGTTGAGCTGGTCACTGACTTGGAATGTTTGGTTGGAATTTTTTAATCCAAATTTATATTCATGCTGTTTAGGGTCGTAAGAGTTTTATGTGATGTGAATAGGAAATTTGATTTCGTTTACCCAGAGTAATTTTACTTTACAAGATCGTGGTATTATTATTATTATTATTATTATTATTATTATTATTATTATTATTATTATTATTATTATTATTATTATTATTATTATTATTATTATTATTATTATTATTATTATTATTATCATTATCATTATCATTATCATTATCATTATCATTATTATTATTATTATTATTATTATTATTATTATTATTGTTATTATTATTATTATTATTATTATTATTATTATTATTATTATTATTATTATTATTATTATTATTATTATTATTATTATCATTATCATTATCATTATTATTATTATTATTATTATTATTATTATTATTGTTGTTGTTGTGTTGGTGTGAGGGCTGGCGATCGGGAATGAGGTGAGGGCGAGTTGTCAGGAGTGGGGTGAGGGCTGGTTGTTCGAGATCAAGCTAGTAATCCCTCTTTGTGCTCAATTAAAACAATACTGTGTGTGTGTGTGTGTGTGTGTGTGTGTGTGTGTGTGTGTGTATGTGATCCCTGTCACAATGAAGATATAAGTTTTATTTAAAAATTCAATTAACAACAACAACAGAAACCTTGGGAAGACGTAAAAATAATAATTAACACCTGGAGGAGAACTGAGGTAAGGTGAACTAAGCTCTACAAACCTCAAAAGTTTCTGAAAAAAAGACAAAAGCTGATTTTATATAAAAGGTAAGTAATGAGATTTTTGGAATTGAATAAACAAGTTACTGGATATTTTAGATTTTAATAGAAGTAGTGTGTATAAGAGTTGGTATATAATAAAGAACGTGTATTCATTGAGGTGTGGGATTGAGAGAGATGGAAAAAAAAAGAGAAATTCTGAGAAGATCTGAATAACTGCTTTAAAAAAAAATTAGTATATAGCCAGGGGGTTGTGGAGAGGGTTGTGGAGAGGGTTGTGGAGAGGGTTTGAAGAGGGTTTGAAGAGGATTTAAAGAGGATTGTGGAGAGGATTGCGTAGGAAATACATACAGGCAGAAACAAACAGGTACAGGGAGAATCTAATGAGGGAGATATTGCCAGGTGAAGGGTTGACAGTGAGTAAATATTGTCTCCTTTTTTTATCAACTCTGTAGTATAATGAAAGAGGAGCAAATAGCAGTTAACAAATAAAAGTTGAATAGAAAAGAGAGGATATTGTAGTGGTAGGGGAATTATTATTATTGTGAGGGGGTGAGTAGGAGGTGGTTGTGTGAAGTGTTAGAAGTAAACCAGAGAGTTATTTGAGGGCTTTGGTGTGACAGAGAAGGAGGATCATAGCTAAATGTAGTGAAGAAATAATGAGGTTGAGAAGAAGGCGGTGAGTGTAGAGTGTGAGTGTGTGTGTGTGTGTGTGTGTGTGTGTGTGTGTGTGTGTGTGTGTGTGGAAGAGATATTGCTCTCTTACTAGATTTAACAGTTAATGATAGAAATATATATATATAAACACGATTCAAACAAATGTATATAGTGTGTGTACTGACATGTAATTTCTTTCCCCCTCCTCTCTCTCTCTCTCTCTCTCATTATCCCCTAGTTATCTTCTTTCTCTGTATTTTTATCACCTTTGTCTCCTCTTCTTCCTGCTGTCACTCTCCACGTCCTCGCCCCCTTTCTTCACTTCACTTTTCTCGATCCTTTACCATTTCAAAAGGAAACTCACCAATTAGCCTTTTCAAGTTCTTTTTAATGAGAATCATCCGTCTGAGCAAACCTTTCAGCGTTTTACTCGGGTTAAACTTACATCTCTACATTTTCTGCCCCCAATTTTTTTTTTGTAAACAAACTTGTACAGGTCTACTAATTAGTGGCTATTGATCCCATAAGTTTAACCTTCTGCAAATTTGAGAATTATGTAACTTCCTGGATTTTTTTGGTCTGGGTTTTCTTGTTATTATTATTATTATTATTATTATTATTATTATTATTATTATTATTATTATTATTATTAACTTTGATTCCATTTGTAAGTGACGTTTGTACCTGTCCAACAACCAAGATATTTTTTTAATCTTCGTTAATCCATATCTATCAACATTGATGTGATCTTAGTGCAGTACAATATATAAGAACGGGATGACTGGCAGTTCTCTGGAGCTCTTCCCTCTCTCCCTCCCTCTCTTTCTCCCTCCTTCCCTTTCTCCCTCCCTCCCTTTCTCCCTCCCTCCCTCACACGACTCATAGCTGACTGTGGTGGCGGGTGTACGATATGGCGTTGATTTTCTCTTAAGGCTAAACCCATAAGATCAACCTCGAGGAAGTATCGACCCACATATCACACATTAACAAGAGCTCGACTTTAAGCTCACTCACTCACACCGGGCGAACAGATACTTTGAATGGATTAATAATTATGGTTATTAGTATTATAGAAATATTAATTACCAATGCTGTATTACAAACTTTATTATATCATTATTACTTTTATCATTAGTGTAGAGAGAAGGCAGAAAGACAAGATTAATTATTACTTTCATTAAAAACAGATTCTATAAACTTCATCACTAGATCTGAAATACGAAGAGAGAGAGAGAGAGAGAGAGAGAGAGAGAGAGAGAGAGAGAGAGAGAGAGAGAGAGACCATTTCCTCTGTCCATTACACCTGGCTGGTTCTGGCAGCAGTCTCCCCGTGGATATTATTTCCTCCGGCTTTCACACTTTCCTGGTTCTGGCAATAGTGTCTCCGTGGGTATTATTTCCCATCCCACGCACACTTGCCTCGCTCTGGTAACACTGTCCCCCATCGAGTGTGTTTCTGATAACTGTGTCGACTCCGCCTTGCTAAGAATAATAATATCTCTCTTTACCAGAAACTAAAGACTAACTTATGGAGGCACAGTGATGGAGAACAAGACAGCTGATGGGTAAAGGAGTCCATATTGGTAGAGTATTGGCGAGTTAATAAAGTAACACAGAAAACGCAAATTATATCTGAACATTAATATGGGTGACTTTAACACCATGATAGTATGGCAGGTGTCTCATACCAGGTGTCTCATGGCAGGTGTCTCATGGAGGGTGTCTCATGGCAGGTGGATCATAACAGGTGGTTCATGACAGGTGTAGGACTGACCTTTCTGGAAGACGGGGTCATCACAGAGGAAGGCCAGGGTGCTGCGGGCTCCCTTCAGGTGTTCCTCCAGTCCCGCTCGCTCCACTTCAGAGAGACATTGTGCCGTGTAGCCGTCGACACACTGCATGCCTTTCTTGAACGCTCTGTAGGGGGAAGAGAAGATGGAGGTGAGGTTAAGTGCTGTGAGGTAGAGAAGGGGGTGTGGAGGTGAAGGAGGCGTGGAGGTGAAGGGGGCGTGGAGGTGTGGGGGCGTGGAGGTGTGGGGGTGTGGAGGTGTGGGGGCGTGGAGGTGTGGGGGATGTGGAGGTGTAGGGCGTGGGGTGTGGGGGCGTGGAGGGTGTGAGGGGTGTGGAGGTGTGGGGGGCTGGTGGGGTGTGGAGGTGTAGGGGTTGTGGGTGGGGGCATGGGGTGCAGGGGTGTGGGTGTGGGGGCGTGGAGGTGTGGGGGTGTGGAGGTGTGGGGGCGTGGAGGTGTGGGGGCGTGGGTGTGCTGGGGGGATGTGGAGTGTGGGGCGTGGAGTGTGGGGGGCGTGGGTGTGGGGGGTGTGGGGGGTGTGTGGGGGTGTGGAGGTGTGGGGGTGTGGAGGTGTAGGGCGTGGAGGTGTGGGGTGTGGGGTGTGGGGATGTGGAGGTGTAGGGGGGGTGTGGAGGTGAAGGCGTGGAGGTGAAGGGGGTGTGGAGGTGTAAGGATGTGGAGGTGGGGGGTGTGGGGTGTGGGGGTGTGGAGGGTGTGGGGGGGTGTGGAGGTGTAGGGGGTGTGGAGGGTGAAGGAGGCGTGGAGGTGTGGGGGGCGTGGAGGGTGTGCAGGGGGCGTGGAGGGTGTGGGGGGGTGTGTGTGGGGTGCTGGGGATGTGGAGGTGTAGGGGGGGGGTGTGGGTGTGGGGCGTGGAGGTGTGGGGGCGTGGAGTGTGAGGGGGCGTGGAGGTGTGGGGGTGTGGAGGTGTAAGGGATGTGGGTGTGGGGGTGTGGAGGTGTGGGGGCGTGGAGGTGTGGGGACGTGGAGGTGTGAGGGGCGTGGAGGTGTAGGGGGTGTGGAGGTGTGGGGATGTGGAGGTGCAAGGGGGTGTGGAGGTGTGAGGGGTGTGGAGTAGAGTTGGGGGAAAGATACAACAAAGGGAAGGCTGAAGGGGAAGACAATAAAGATAATAATTAATAGAAACTTGGATAATAATCAGCGAATGGAGAAACATCATATGTGGTAGTACTAACTGCATATTGCAATAGCTAGACCCTTTAGAAGTAGCAATATTACTTCACTTTGTTAAGTCAGATGTATGATATTACACCCTTTAGAATTACCGGTAATGAGGCGGGTATAGTGTAGGTAATTAGAGGTGCTCAATTTAACACAGTAATAGTTGTACCCTAAGTTGTTGTTATTATTATTATTATTATTATTATTATTATTATTATTATTATTATTATTATTATTATTATTTACAATCCATCCATAATATATATTCATGATATTTCTACGTTCTATAAATACTTTTCCCTGAACTATATCAATTATAAGTCCATTTTCATAATTTCACACAACAACCATTTAAATTATGATCCCTGCAGAGCTAAACAGCATTTATTCCGCTTCTGATTTCACATTGTAATTTTCCTCGCACGTGTATGTAAACTTTTCTGTGTATTTTACGCATAATAATAATAATGGATTTGGAGCTTATGTTCTTTTGACCCTCTAAACCAGATTAAATTTCATTTTCGTTTCAACATTTTATTTCCCGGGTTTGAGTATTAATGTGGTTTTTTATAGTGAAGTATTTGTGGAATGTTTTTTATATACGACTCTTCATTACTGCGGCTACTATTACTACTATTACTGTAATATCTTATACAGTATATTAAATACCAATATTATTACTATTATACTACTACTACTACTACTAATAATAATAATAATACAACCATCATTACTACTACATCACTACTAATACTACTTCTACCATTACTACTAAGAACACTACTGCAAATACTATTAACACTAACTCCTCATAATTTCTACTTATATTTTACAGTCACACCCTCCACTTATATTTACACCCCTCTATACTTACACTCCCTCCACTTATATTTGCACACTCCCTCCACTTATATTTGCACACTCCCTCCACTTATATTTGCACACCCCTCCACTTATATTTGCACACTCCCTCCACTTATATTTGCACACTCCCTCCACTTATATTTGCACACTCCCTCCACTTATCAACATTTTTCTCTCTCTGTTATTTCTATTTTATTATTTTTTCCACCTCCAAATATCTTTTATCACTGCCCATGCATCAGGTAATTCTCTCTCCCTGTGACGTCTTATGCGCCCACTCCCTGTGTTGTCTCGCCTCCCACTCTCACTCAATAATTCATTACGGTAATAAATGTGTCCTTGTATTTTGTCATTATTTGTCTGTGTCTGTTTGTCCTTTTTTTTATGTTTTTGTATTGTGTGTGTTTGTTTGTTTTTGTATTTCTAGAATTTTTTATTTTATTTTATTATTTTTTTGTTTTTTCTCTTTTTGTTTCTCAGCCTTATAAATTCTTTCTTCTCATTCCTTTTTTGCTCAGCTTCCTCTCTCTCTCTCTCTCTCTCTCTCTCTCTCTCTCTCTCTCTCTCTCTCTCTCTCTCTCTCTCTCTCTCTCTCTCTCTCTCTCTCTTTTCCCAAGGTCTCTTCTCTTTGTCAACTCTACACATTAGTTTTCCTGTAATATCATGAAATAATTAACCAGATCTTCCCAGGTTGTTTATAAAGTCCTATGATGTGTGTGTACAGTCTAAGAAAAAACTATCTTCCTAATTTTTGGTGAATACATCCGCGTAAAGGTTGAACCATCAGTGTACAGTCGGGGTCAAAATTTAGCTTCCGCTCAAAATGAAGCAGTGTCGACCCCAATGAGATGAAACAGTCAGGGTAATACTGTACTTCGTAAACTGTTAGCAGACCTGTGGAACCTTTAAGGGAGCTCAGGCTATACCAGTGATTCACATAATGACTTACTTTCTCAGATGATCAATCATTATTATCATTATACAGTAATAGTATTCGAACCATCATTCGTTGACCAACTCGAAGCTTTTATCTCGTCAGACATACCAACTGGCCAGATGTAGTCACGTTTTCAGTATAATCCGCCAGGTTTCAATATTCCCCGGCCAAGGCTCAACCAACACTTGTTCCTTATACTGTGCACAATCCCCTTGAACACACTACACATCTAAAGCCTCGGTGTGTTCCATCATTTGGTTCACCATGTCCACTACATTGGATTATTGGATGTGTAAGTTTTACGCTAGTTTGAATGGTTACCCAGACTCTGTTTCTCTGACCTACAATACAGTGATAGTTAACCTCTGGCCACATGAGGTTGGAAATGTTTAGTTAGTGTTTTTTTTCACTAAAACCTGCCCAAAATTTTTTGTTGTCCTGATAAAAGCGAGTTATGTGTTGATACAAACTATTACCTTAATTAATCCGGTCATGAATACGATTTGCATAAAAAAACGTGTCTATTAGCCAGTCAAGGTTAGGGGAGTGTATGTAGCTTTAGTAAATTACATAATAAAATAACCTGACCTGCCCCCTAGTTAACATATTCAATTACAAATTTAGATTTAATACAACAGGCTTACAACCCTTACCAAATACTGCAATTTACACATCACTATGGGATAACATTACTCACATACTGGTGAAATTTACTAACTCTAAAACTGCGAGTTACAGTTCAACATTACAGAACACAAATTCTCCAATATTTTTTTTGGTGTGTGTGGGTTATGTATTGTGTATACAAAGAGTAACACGTATAGTACTCGATGATCACATGAGTAATCTGGAGAATAAATATAAAGAGGAAATAAATTTCTTGTGGGAATGTTAACAGTAATATCAGTCACCAGCAATGAGTTACGACGCAGCGCATCAAGCAAAAAAAAAATCATTAATTCCTTAAAGTTAATGTTTGTGGGTCGAAACAATACTAACTTTTTAAAATAAACTCCAGACAGTAAGCCAGAGGTAGGAAAATAACTCCAAGTCTCAGTGGGGCTCTGGGTCGTGTGGTCTGATATGAACAATACTTTCCTTCGTCTCGGCCTACTACATTACCGCCACTCCCTCAAGCTACACCCACTACCCTACACACCGAGGTTCTCCCAAGTGAATAATGGAATTTACAAACCTGACTTTAGATATTTGTTTTAAGATGATACGAAAAATTTGTCTTCTTATATAATCTAGGCTAAGTTAATATGCCTTGGTGGGTTAATAGTAGTGGTAGTGGTGAGTGAATACGGCTGACTTGCATGGTAGTATTTTCGGTTCACTGTAGCAAATTGTGGTGACTGTTACTCTTCCTGTGTAGAGAAACGATGATTAGTGAATTATTATCGTTTGTGTTGCGGAGCTGGTTATTGTACACACATACAATTAAATCCTACGATATTTATTAGTTTTATGTAAGTCGCCATGTAGATCTACAGTGGTGGGCCAAACGTTCAACTATCCACCTTATAAGTCATTATTATTGTGTGTGTATATATATATAGTTACAGTCAGTCAACCTGTGTTAATGTGTTATTTTACCAAATGACCGACAACAATTAATTTCTTTGCGAAATAATTGTTCCTAAGCTAACCTAACCTAACCTAAATTGAGTCCAAATTTTAATGTTCACTTTGGTGATTAATTAAAAAATTCCGGTTATTTCACTAAATAACTGATTACACAGGTTGACTGTAACAGATATACCAGGTTTTGTTATACACGACCTGGATTATTATTATAAAATGTTGGTTAAGCCTTTGTTTTATTAATATGTTCATTGTTCCGAATTCTAATTTCTCATTGTGTTCATTTAATTTTTGGCTCTAGTTTAAGCAGCTTTCCCACAGTAGAGTATCATTATATAAATGGGCAGCATTTCACTGTTAACATGAAAGAGGAGCTTCCAAGAACCCAATTAGGGTAATGCATATACGCGGTTACATGATGCCGCCCAGGGTAATGGCGGGTGTTTGTTGCCTGGCTTCATCGACCAGAAAATCAACTTATTATCTTTTGTGTAATATGAAATAGGGACATATTGATCGTCATTAACTTTATCAATAAAACATGGCGTCGTCTGTTTCTTA